AACAGAACACATCCTCCTCCTCCTCCCCCCCCTCCTCCTCCTCCTCCTCCTCCTCCTCCTCCTCCTCCTCCTCCTCCTCCTCCTCCTGCTGCTCACCAATCACAGCAGCAGAGGAAAGAACACGACGACCCCTCAGGCCCACGGAACTTGCCGGAGCAGGGCGTGTCGGTGCACTGTGCGATGAAAGCGTGCAGATCAGTGACGCGGACCTGTTCCTGAGTCTGGGCCTGTGGGACGACAGGAAGTCAGAGCTGAAGACTGACTGACGTAGACCGCTCTGGAAACAACAGCTTCATATTTATATATATTTACATCTCATCTCAAGGATTCACTGGTCATACCATGACACTACACACTACAGCACAGTAGGTGGCAGTACGTAGGCTAAGAGACGTTCAGGTGTTGGAACCGAACGTGTCCCCGCTCATGGTTAAACTGTCAGTGTGATGACGACAGGTCAGTGACCTCTACCGTACCATGATGGTGTCGTAGGCTCCGGTGATGAGGGCGATGAAGAGGGACAGCACCATGTAGATGAAGAGCGAGATGAAGGTGTAGAGGTAGACCTGGCTGAAGATCCACACCAGCGTGCTGCTGTGCTCCATCTCAGCAAACGTCACGAACATGTCGTCGCCGTTGATGAGAGAAAACAGACACTCGGAAACCATGGACAGGGATCGGAACTGGACAGGAAGTCACAAAGAACAGCGGTGAGCGGTGAGCGCAGCCTCGGCGTTTCTGCTCCCAGGTTCTCCGTTCTCTACCTTGGTGTGGTACGGTCCCAGGACGATCCACCCACAGAAGCAGTAGCCCATGTAGATGGCAGCGGCGCAGCAGCAGAAACGGATGACGTTTGGGAAGGCGGCTCTGAGAGTCACAATCAGGATCTGAGGTCAAAGGGTCAAGAGGTCAAACACAGTAGGTTTTTACAGAGCTACAAGCACGCGTGTCGTTGTGTCGTTCATACATACATTGTATTTCTGGAAGAAGCTGAGGTAGCGGATGACCCCCACCCACACCAGCAGGGTGGAGGTGCCCAGCAGGATGCTGCACACGTCGTACGACGACAAGTTCTGTGTCACAGCAGCCACAGCGTCAGAGTTACAAAAGGTCAGACTGGGCCTATCAGAGACAGGCGCGCTCCCGGCCGCTCCCACGTTACCTTGGATTCGATGCCAATCTTGATGAAACTCCCGACGATGGTGAAGACGTCGCTGATGATGAGCAGGAGGTACCAGCCGTTGACAAACTCCATCCTGTCTCCCCAGGTCACGCCGCGGCCCAGCCTCTGGTTGAAGAACTTCACGTACTCCTGGGAACAGAACAACACGCCCACAACAAACACTAACACACTGTCCACCAGGGGCGCTGTTTCCTCTGGGACTTCAAACCTCAGTCTAATCATTTAAAGAAAAATAAACTGTTAAAATCCAGATTCTAAAACGCCGTGGACTTACAAACTGGAGGATGACGCCTCTGAGGATGGAGCGGCCGCAGAGGAGCAGAGACAACAGACACACCACTGACACCAGCACGTCAAAGAACTGCAGGGCGTAGCTCTCAGCTGGAACAGCAGGGGTCACCGGAAGAAATGATCAGTTTATTCACAGGGAAACATGGGATCAAATGATTGATTCATTGATTAACTCATTTCCCCAGCTCCTCCCCCTGAACCCCCAGGACCCCCAGCTCCTGACCGTGTCCTGACACGTTGGGGTCTTTACACTCGGTGATGGAGGCCTGGTTTTGCAGCGTGATCTTAACTTTGCCGCTGTGAGCTCTGTTGTCCATGAGGATCTGACGGACGGACAGAGAAGAATCAGTGACCGACATTCACCTCCACAGAACGTCTGAATCAACGCTCATTCACCGTGATGCTGAAGGTGTAGCAGTCAGGGATTTCGTTGTTTATGATGGTCTGTATGTTGATGGCCTTTAGCTGGAAGTCGATGGTCACGTTGATCATTCTGGGGACAAACGGAGAATTTCAGAAACATCAACTTCTGTAATGAGATAAAAAAGAAAAAAAAAACTCCAGCTCAGTCTCACTTGTCGATCTTCAGACTGAAGTTCCTGTAGTCACTGGTTCCCAAACCAGTTGGATCGACTCCAACACAGTCTGCAAAAATACAGAAATGAAATCAGAAAATAGCAAAAGAGGAAGTTGAATAAAAGACAACAGGAAGTCATATATTTTTAACAGCAAACTCATCAATTTTCCATCATCACATCACATGAGGTGCTGACCACACACCCCACGGTCTGACAGTCAACACCCGGTTCACAGACAGGCAGCGACCCGGTGTTTGGAGAAAAGGTCAGAGGTCACTTTACCAGTGACAACGCGAGGGTCGATGTCAAAGGTGTCATTGACGGGGTCGATGGTTCCCTTCCTGAAGAACCTCTGGCAGAGCGACAGTGAACTTCCGTTGTAGCCGACACCGGGGACGTAGGCGTAGCGTCCCAGAGAGATCTGAGGCAGAACCAGGTACTGGACCAGGAGAGAAGTGTGCTACGTTACAACAAAGCTAAATGCTAATGGACGAAGGTTAGCGGTGGAAGCTAACAGCACAACAAGTGATGAGAACTACGTTTAATGTCAATCTTTTATTGTTTTGAGTTCAACGACACGTTCAGATCAAAGACACGTAGAACCTCATTAGAACCTTGTTAGAACCTTATTAGAACCTTGTTAGAACCTGTCAGGTACCTGATGGATGGCGAAGGCGATGTGGTCTCTGAGCTGCGCCTGCGTGTGGACGGCCTGAGCAGCTCTGTCGTGGTAACCCTTCAGGAACAGGTGTTTGAAGACCTCCGTGTTCTCCTCCTTGAACGTCACCACCATCTGGTTACTGAGTCCAAACAGGACCAACTGAAAGGCACCAGGAACCAATGACAAACACTGAGAACCAGAACCAACCCCGCTCCAGTGATGACATCACCCTCGGAGCCGATGGGACGCTCACCTGCACCGTCACGATGACGATCTTCAGCAGCTGAAGGCCCAGTTTGAACGGCTTCCGTCCCTTGGCGTGATACTTATCACAGGGACTCATGAAGAAGTACTTCAGTTTCCTCCTCAGAGCCTCCTCCTCCTGCTCCTCCTCCTTCTCCTCCTGCTGCACCCGGGCGCCCACCAGGGAGCTGGGACGAGAACTTCCACTGCCCAGAAGATCCTGGGAGCCGTAGTTGGCCCTGGAGGAAAGCAGACGCTCCTTCTCTGGACAAATACAACAGGACACAAATACAATGTTATTAAAAAAATAAAGAACCTTCATTCATGGACTTTGACATTTTAGACACAGAATGATGGGAATTATCATCAGATCAATCCATTGTTTTTGTTAATTACTGGCCTCATCACACAGACCTGATGGTCTACACTGATTGGATGAACAGTTTGCTGTGACGTTAAATGATGACATCATCACTGATGGCGGTCACCACACCTGGTTCTCTTCAAACCAATACTCAGACAAACAGCCTGATCATGTGACCTTAGATATTTGAAGTTGAACTTTTTCCTGATCAAAGGCATCAAAGGTGCAAACAATAATATAACCTGTATATGCAGTACATTATACTAGACTGTAGTATTCTCCGACTCAGTTCAGTTCAGTTGGTCCTGTCAGCTGATCCACTGGTCCACCACGGTGCCATCACATCACAGACTCTGTCCCTGCTCGTTTCCATGACAACAGTCTGGATGGTCTTTGTGATGCTTGGCTGTTGACTCAGAAAAATGACTGTTCTATATGCAGTTAGCATTATTTACGTTAGATGGCGCCAGGTTTTCTATATGCAGTTAGCATTATTTACGTTAGATGGCGCCAAGTTTTCTTTCATTGATCAGTCCGACCATGGACCGTGATCCACCTTTGAACCTCACTCTGACTTTAACCTGATAAGATGAGGCCACAGTGGAAGACGAAAGGTGTTACAGTAGTTGACATGGAGGCAGGGATGACGTCACCTCTTATTATTCTTATTATGGCCACAACAGACACCGCTGACAACAGACACTTTACACTATGGACCACCTGAGGTTGTCACACACACACACACACACACTATGACAACAGACAGAACGGCTGCGGTGTCAAACCTGGGCTGTTATCCTGGCTGCATGTGTTGTTCGAAGACTCCATGACGTCAGAGACGAAGACAAAGATAATGGTGAGGTTAATAATAATAATAATAATAATAATAATAATAAAAATCCTGGATGTCACAGGAGAACACCAGCCCGGGACATGAGCCTCTAACGCTGTTCACGTCATCGTGTCACCAGAAACCGCTGTCGCAAGAACCGAGGTAAACAACCATCATAGTTTCCGGGTGACGCCCCACGTGACGCTGTCACGTGATGATCTGTTGCCAGGCAACCAAACAAAAGCAGATTTTAGGATTTGATATTTGTCAGTGACGGTGACGAACGAACTCTGACTTTTTGTTCTTAATTCTGACAGACTTCTTGTGATTGAAACGTTTGTTACTGTTTTAAAGAATAAATGACGTCGTTTCCGGTGCAGCCTTTAGTCACGGCGTCAGGTACGATCTCTTGTACCGGGTGGTCGAGACGTCAGTCCCACTTCATTGTGGACACGGATCGTAAAGTAACATAAATAAAAGACACTCGTTTGACTTTGAACACTTTTATTTAAATCCACAGATCAACAATAAGAAGAAAATTAACTTTTTAACTACATTTAAGTTGGTAATGTGGTTTACTGAGGTCCAGAACTATTATTGTCACGTGTTTGTGAAACGTCTTCAAGGTTCGTGAGTTTTACAGTTTCAGGGATGTCATTTTGATGTCACGTAGAAGTGGAAAACACGCCACCTGGTGGTGAAACAGGAAACAACTTACTGCTGGAAATAAAACGTCTTTATGTTGTTATTATATGAAACCAAAAAGAACAATCCACACATCATGAAAGTTGGACTCAGTTCTATCTGTTCGTGAGTTCAACAGCACAGCCAACAGTTCCAGTCACTCTTCATGACCTACAACATGGAGGATTCACAGTCCTGCGTGGCTCCACCACAGCAGCCAGTCTTTTTTTTTATCGTCCATCCAACGCCTTGTCCCTGGTGATGACTGAGTCATTGAACTTAATCATGAGGGTGGTGCCTTTGTGCCAGTGAGCAGTGACTTTGGCAGGAAAGCCGCTGTGTGTGAGGATGGCTTCCACGATGCCAGCGGTGAACGCAGCACAGTTCAAGCTGCTGTTTTCCCTGGGCACAGATATGTAGGCGTTGATGAGCGGTTCTTTCTCGATGATGTAATAGGTCTTGTCGTCGTCGTTGGCCTGCTCCAGTTTGTCAGCCTCCTTCCCGAACAAGGACTTCCACACGTTGACCTGAGGTCAGGGAAACATGGTGGTTACGGTCCGAAAACCAGACGACATCATCATCATCACCGGTGACCTTGACTCACCTTGATGAAGAGCAGCATGTTCAGGACTTTGGTCTCCCTCTTCCCGTTCTTCTCCCTCAGCACCAGGACGTCCAGCATGCTGGCTCCGACACTGTGGCCCATTTCTGCCAGACGTGTCTGCAGCTCCGACACGGAGTAGACGCGGCTCTGACAGTACTGGACCATCTCTGAGAACAGGAGGGCGAAGGCGCTCACACTCACCTCAGTCTTGGGTCGTGTCAGCGGTCGCTCTAAGATACTGGACTTCCCACGAGTGAAGCGAGTGTCCATTTTCTGTAAAATTGACTTTTGTTTACTGTCAGTTTATCACATGACGTCACTGAAAAACTAAACACAGACGGAGGATGCAGTAGAACAGACTTGTGTAAGAAGTCAGTAGAAATAAGGCTGTGTCAGCAAAATGGAAACACTTTCAAGTAACTTACGAGTTAAATAATGATTTAATAATATCCATAAACATATTTTACAATTGCCGATTGTGTGAAATTCTAACAACAGTATATTAAATTTAGAGCTCATTAAATTCCCTTCACATTCAGTTAATCTTTTATTAGATTTAACAGAATACACTGAGTCATTACTCCTTCAAATAAAACTTCATTCCCGCTGTGTTTTTTAATCAGACAAATACAAGTATTTTTTTAAGTGTATCGTTAAGAAACACCGTGTTTGAGCTGACAGTTAGCTTGACGCTAACGTCGAGATAGAAGGTTGTAGAACGTAACACAAAATACCAAGTACGGAATAAACTCGGCGAAGCTAAATAAATAATGTCGATATTTTCACGGTGCGCAGTAAAAGTGAGGATTGTATACATTTAACCAACCTTTGTTGAGGAATATTCCGATTATATCCTGTTTTCCCTTATTTTCTTCTTCGTCGGTTGAGCTGCTGCAGTGCTGCTTCGTCACAACCGTGTGTTGCTATACTGCCACCCTGTGGCCTGTTACTTTATAGGTCACAAATAGCATTATCATGATTTAACTTTTAAATTAGCATACATTTAAATAAAGTGTAGTTCTTTGAGTTAAAACTCCCCCAAAACGAAGTTTGTTCGATATATTTAGCGCATATATTGTGTTCAAGATTCAGTTATATAAGTTATATAATATATATTTAAGTCAAATAAAAAAATAAGATTCATTAAATGATACTTTACGTACAGAAGGAGTTCACAAAAAACCTTAGACTGTCAAAGTGAGACAGGACATTTGCATAATATCAACAATTACAGAATGAAAATACAACAAATACACTATAGGAAAAAAAGGTACTTTTATCAAAGTACTTCTTATTTTCAGCTCATCTTCCTGTTCTGTTGCTTTGTTCTTCATTCCAGGTAAATAATCAATAAATAGTTTTATGCAGACAATAAAAGATGGACTTTTGAATCATTGAAAAGCCAACATTTTGGCCAAATGACCCAGTTTGACCCCAGTTTGGATGTTATCACTTTGTACTCACTTTGTTTACCTCTCCTGGCAACCAATCAGAGTGGATTTCACTTGAAATAAATCCAGCAGTCAAATATATATATTTATATTTATTTCTATCTTACTCAAACTCTGTCAATCGGTTGATTTGATTTTGTTCCTTAAAAATGTCCCAAAATGTTCCACCTTTTAAACTGTAGCCCTTCCACTTCGGGGAAATGCATTGAGAAGCTTCTGCAATGTGTTTTCCAGCTCACACACAGTCTCCAGGTCCACTTCCTGTTCCTCTGCACACACGGCCGCGGTAGTCGTTTCCTACAGCGTCTCACACATGCACCGTAACCTTAAATAAAACGGCCGCTGACCAATGGGATGAGCACGTGATTCACGGCTCTGGGACTTCCTGACTTTGGCGGCCGTAGCTTCTGTGGTGTGAGAGCGTTGACTGGGGAACGTGTGTTGCCTCAGAGAGGAGTGCCGTGGGTTTGTACATCAGTCCGACAGTGCTGACTCGGCCGACTTCAGTGGGGGGGGGCGGTTTCTTACAGAACTTCTGAAATTCTCACAAATGTCCAGGTCGCTCACGAAGACGCAGACGGAAATACAGGGTGAGGTCGGGTCCGACCCCCTCCCCCTGCAGGTGCATGATTCCCACATGAGTCACTCCCCAGGCCTGATAGACAGAGCGGACCTATCGGTTGAACATATACGGCTGTTACGTAACCTCCCACTGCAGAAGGTCCACCTATAAATGACCGCGGTGCAGCGGCCGTCAGACATTTGAAGTTTGGAGCCGACCTCGGTCACGAGACTCAGGATGGATAAACTGACGCTGGGCCTTGTTGTTGTCTGGGCCTGCACCCACTGCACAGGAGGTCAGAGGTTCTTCTGTGTTTGTTTACTGTCACTGAGCGTGTGTGTGTGTGTGTGTGTGTGTGTGGTTCACTTCTCTAGGTAAAGTATGACTGAGGCTGTGATTTAGATTTCAGTACAAGTGACTGTGTGTGTGTGTGTGTGTTTTCTGCAGCAGCTTCATTCTCTCTGCACATGGACGACTTCATCGAGGCAGTGAAGCAGGTGGAGGACGCTGATCCCAAGTCAGTTCCACAGTCGGTTCTGAAGAGGCTGCGTTGGTGGGCGGGGTTAAACCATGATGCATTCATCCAGCACTTCCTGGGAGATGTGAGCCCCACGGCTCCAGACCTGGACCCTGGTCTGGTGGACTACATCAGGACGGCCGTGCAGTACAGGGTGACGGACGACGCAAGGGAGGAGGGGGTGGTGCTGACCTCGGACGGCTCCACGGTGGCCCTCAGGCCCCTCCTCCTGGGCCTGGAGGCCGGGTTCCTGCCCAGGTACAGTGAGCGTCAGAGGGCTCTGTACCAGCTGACCCTGGCCAGGGAGCTCAGCCTCTCCCTGAGGAGCAGCTCTCCCCCCGGCCAGCGGGTGGGGCCTGACGGCTGTTGGGACAGCCTGTCCTCCCCCCTGGTCTTCACCCTCTCGGACACCCCCAGTCTGCCCACGGCCTCTTATGTCAACGGCGCCATGGACGGCGTCGTCCTGGGGATGGCGATGAAGAGCAGACGTTCTCTGAAGCTCAGCAGCCTGCTCACGCAGTATTACTGCCACCAGCTGGACAACAACGGAATGGACGCCGCCCCCCGTCTGATCGGCCGCCGCCGCAGGGACAACTTCAGAGAGCTGGTCCTGCCCCCCCTCCTCTACAGACAGGTGATGAAGTCAGTGGACCTGCAGAGGAGCCTGAGGAGAGAGGCAGAGACGGAGGTGAAGGAGAAGAAGCGGCTGATGGCAGCGGTCAAGGCGGGGGTCAAGGACTTTGTGCACCTGTTCATGGGTGAGTGTGACGGACGGGCGCCGACCCCAGAACCTTTTCATCCTCTCTGTGGTTTAACTGAGAACTGTGGTTGAACCTTTGTTTCAGACTGCCCTCCCATGATTCCTCGCTGCATCTGGGGGGCAGCACCTTACAGGGGGACCCCCACCAACCTGACCCTGCCCCTGACCTTCATGTTCATCCACCACACGGCCATCCCCAGTCAGCCCTGCCTCACCTTCCAGCAGTGTTCCGCAGACATGCGCTCCATGCAGCGCTTCCACCAGGAGGACCGCGGCTGGGACGACATCGGATACAGGTACAACCCCCCCGACTCCCCCCCCTAAACTCTGATGACTGAGTTCTGCATCCAACTTACATCCAACCGTCCTCTCCTGAAGCTTTGTCGCAGGCTCTGACGGCTACGTCTACGTGGGTCGCAGCTGGCACTGGCAGGGGGCCCACACTCTGGGACACAACACCGTGGGTTACGGCGTCTCCTTCATTGGAGACTACAGCAACAGTCTGCCCTCCCAGCATTCCATGGGGCTGGTGAGAGAGCGGCTGGCGTCCTGTGCCGTCGGTGGTGGCAGACTGATACCCAGCTTTATTCTGAAGGGGCACAGACAGGTGGTCAACACTTCCTGTCCTGGAGACACGTTTTATCATGAAATAAAAAGCTGGCAGCACTTTGGGGTACGTGGACTGGAAACAGTGACCTCTGCTGGTTCATTAGAAAAGATGATCCATCATTTTTCTGTTGTTTTTTATTCTTTCAGGAAACTAAGAAATGATCGTGTGACCAACGGAAGAAGACGACGTCTGTAAAACAAAACTCGAACTGAACCAATAAATATATGATATATTTGATGTCATGGATCTGTGTGTGTGTGTGTGCGTGCGTGTGTTTATGTTGCAAAAAAGAAAGAAAAAAAAAGAGGAAACTGGTCAAATCTGTGAGTTCTATATTTATTTCCAATTTCCCTTGTTGTTTCTCACTGGTTCAAAAATGTTCACATCACGATGACCACTGACGCCGGGGGGGAGGTGATGTGGCCCAGCTGCCCTGGGGCAACAAGGCAGCTTGAGGAGGCAACGTGTGACGGTTCTTGCCACACAGGAAGTAGCGTCTCTGCGTCAGCTCTGTAACGGACGGCGTACAACGTTTCCTGTTAGAACCAAAGGTGGAACGTGTTTGACAAACAGGCCCGACTCCCTGAAGACTCATCATGGTGCCAAATTCAACAGCTCCCCTCCAGAGGGGTCCAGAGGAGTCCAGAGTCTGCCGTCCAGGGCTGAGGGGTCACGGTGCCCCAGCTGACCCGGGGTCATTGTTGAAGGACCCCGGCCTGAACATAAACATTATATTTAATTACATTATTATTATATATTTTTTTAACATTCACGTCAACGGTTGAAATGCCACCAGGCTTATAGTTCCACACGTGACCAACAGAGGGAGCCAGACACCAGACTGTGTATTAATGTGCCGTCAGACGTTTATTGATCTGCAGCATTTAAAGAATGTTGTCAGGTCGTTAATTGTCGGTCAATAATACAGCTCACACCTCACAGAGAGGCGGGGTCTGACCTGTGACGTCACCACCGTGCTTTTATTAACAAAATAAAATGTTCTTGATTATTATACTCACTGTTAATATATAGGCCACACTACTACAGGTATGTTTACTATTTCAACATATAGATTTAGATATAAGTCAAATATTACAATAAAATATAAACAGTAGAATAACTGTCATTCATCTGAACAACGTGGGGGGGGGGGCAGGAGGGATCTATGGACGACGATGGTGTGGATTTATAATAAAATCTGAAATAAAATGATGATAAAATGTGATTCAGATGTTGTTTTTATGTCGTCATCAAACAGTGTTTATATTTATGTTTTAGCTTTATTTTTAAATAAATACATTGGGACAGAATTAGAGAAACGGCCGTCAGTCTTTTGGTCCACAATGAACCGACTGGTAAAAGTTGTGCTCCACAAACTTGGCCCACAGTGGGTTACTGTCCAACTCTCGTGGTCGCCCTCCCCGTCGACGTTACGTTACGCAGCCGTGGCGCCGCTGCCTGTTTGAGCCAGATAACATGGAGTCCTGCACAGCCTGGCATCTCCACGAGATCCGGGCGAAAACGGCGAGCGGCCGCTGAAAACACCAAGTTTTCCCCCCGCGCTGGAGCAGCGACAGCCCGGCGCCCACGTCGAGTCGGGGCTGGAAGCCTCGGCTGCGTCCCGGAAACATGACGAACTGCGCCTGAACAGTCGCCGCGATCCGCAAACAGGGCCGACTTCAGTGAGTATTCGCACCGGGAGGAGGAAGAATGCACTTCATGGGCGTCTGTGACTTTAAAGGGCGTTGTGCACAGATGCGTTCGATCCACGCTCACCTGACAGCGGCTGCAGTCGCTACCGACGCTCGGCACAGCCGTGACACCTTCACGGACCCGGACACATTTTCACGGTTGTTGAGGGGCAACAGCAGCAGCGGCAGGGGCAACAGCAGCGACAACAGCAGCAGCAGTAACAGAGGATATGGGCCTGAATATAAAGGCCACTTCTTTATGTAACCACCATTCCATTCCATTCCATTCCATTCTTCTTTAAGAGCAGAAGAAGAACAAAAATAGGTCAGGCCGAGAACCCTGCAGCAGAGAACAGAAATACACACAGAACCAGAACTGAGCAGATCTGAGTTCAGCAGTTCTTCCTGTTCTGTGTCCTCACATGGAAACACCTGGACCAAGAAGAAGAAGAAGAAGAAGAAGAACATGTTCTGAACTAGTTTGACTTCCTGTGTTTCTAACATTCACAGAGACGTACGGCTCATTTCTGAAAACTATTTTAAATTAAACTAGTTTTGGTAACTAACTAACTGACTAACTAACTAACTAACTGACTGACTGTCAGTGGTGCTGTTTACAGACGCTCTGGAAAAGGTCTCTGTCAGAACCGTTCTGTTCCCAGACCAGCACCAGGATGTAGTCCATGTGGGCTTCACTGTGTCAGGGATACGGCCCAGAGCACAGGTGTCAAACTCAGGCCCGCGGGACAGATTTGGCCCCTGGTGTAATTATATTTGGCCCGTGAGTTCATATCAAATGTGTACTAGAGCTGGGACGGCAGTGTATGTAGTATATCCAGTATATCCAGTACTTGTACTGCAGGGGTGTGTAGTATTATAGTACCCCGATGTCCTGGTCACATGATCACCGTCAGAGACTCCCAGGGTCCGTGGGTCGGGGTCCACGTGTTCTTCACTTCAGTCTCACCTTTCTCTTCTCTGTTTATTTCTCCAGATCCAGAGGAAGCTGCACAATGTAGGCCGTCTGGTCAGCAGTGGCAGTCCACACACTGTCCTCTGGGGGCGCCATGGAGCCAGAGGGACCACTGACCCCAGGGTCCAGTTATGGACCCCCGTCTCTTGACTCAGCACAAAGCATCCTCAGCTGCACCTTACAGGTAAAACCCAGGGCACGCGCCGCCCACGTCACGTTTAGAGCCACCAGGTGGTTGATGGTGGTTAGTGCTGTTGCCTTACAGTAAAAATATCTGTGGTTCAATCCCTGCAGTCTTCACATCATCCTGAGGAGACGGACGCCCTCACGTCTGCTGGGAGCTCCTGGGACCAGGTGGGGGGCGAGGGCTCCGTCCAGGGGGAGGTCACAGAGGTCAGTACAGACCTGGGGAGGTCTGTACTGGGGGGCTTCAGGTCCTCGGCCTTTCCCTCCTCCCTGAACTGGGACTCTGACTCAGAGAAGGAAACACTGGATGGTAACACATGGTTTACACCTGGTATACAGTGATGATGAAGATGGTGATGATGATGATGGTGATGGTGATGATGGTGATGGTGATGGTGTTGATGATGATGATGATGATGGTGATGCCTTCAGGTGACAGTTGTCTCCAGTCTGCCTGTAGTCAGGACTCTGCTCCGACTGTAGCTGTGACTGTGGTCTAACTGTTGACGTCTTCTTCCTCTCTGTCTGTGGTCTGTCTGTGGTCTGTCTGTGGTCTGTCAGAGGAGGAGCTCCAGCATCTGTCTAACCCTCATGGTCTGGCTGCTCACAGCCCTGGATCTCCATCTTCTGGACTCAGGTGAGGAGAGGATGAAGTCGTCAGTTTTCTTTGGTTTTGTACCATTTCTTACAAGGATGAGTATTTGTGTACTCATCAATACAAAGTACAAATACGTATAGGTATTGAATGAAGTATAGAGGCCAATACTAACACCAGCAGTGTTTTATTGAAGGCTCTGTATCCTTTCAGGGTCATTACTGCCACCTATTGGATGAAGTTTGGATTGGAAAACATGTCCATTCAGACACTGTAGTATTTCAAGTATATTTCTGTGTAGTACTGAGTACTTCTTCAACTGTGTGTGACCAACATCAGGTCAGACGGCTCAGGTTCCGTTCCCTGAGACATGCATTCGTCTCTGGCTGAGCCGTGGAGCCGCGCACTTCCACGGCTGTGGTCCGTGTCAGTCCAACATTCCAGACTTGTGCGCACAGTTTTACATTCCAATCCGGAGGTTGTGTTTGAGTGTGTGTTCAAACTGACTGACATTCACAACAGAATTCTCAGCATGTCACTAGAGCGCCACCAGGTGGTCTTTAAACTGTGCTACAAAAAGCAACGTATGCACGTGGTCTACATGGTCTGTATGGAGCCTCTGTAGACCTGGTCTCACCTCAGACCCAGGACTCTGATCTGATGCTAACGGCGCGTGCTAACTCCTCACTGGTTCATTTATTGAATACCAACCATTTTCTCTTCCTACGCTGTCTAGACGTGATAATGAAGATGACCCAGAAAGGCAGAACGTGCAGCTCTTACATGGTGAGCTGACTGTGTGTCACCCTGGGGGGGGGCACCGTGATAACAACAGTGAGAGCACAAAGACAGGAGAGTCAGCTGGAGCTCAGCTTGGCCAAGTTGAATGTGAGTGCCATGAGGAAGAAACTCAATCTGTCCGCACACATTTCTCCTTTTTTTTTTTTTTAAGATTATTTCTGTCTAAACTGCTGTTTTCTCCTCGCAGCGGCAGACGCCAAGATCTGGAATGTATCTGAGGGAGCGGAGCTATTTCTACCCAAAGTAAAACCAAAGGGCGATTGCCAAATGGAGGAGCGGGAGGTGGACAACAGTGTGGGAGACGAGGGAGAGGGGAGGCCCAGTGGGAGGGAAACAAAGGAGTGTGACACAGACGTGTACACCTTCCCCGGAGACTCGGACCCTGAGAGTCCGCCTCCTGCCCCCTGGGCTCACTGCACGTTTGTTCAGCGGTGCAGAACCAAGCGAGTTCTGCTGCGGCCTTTCTCCGGACTCGGCTCCTCAAACAGCACGTTGGCCGACGACGGCCAAGAGACGGGAGCCGCGCTGAACGAAGACGGAACCGTTTTTGACTTCGATGCTGACGTCCTCAGGAAGGAGGCGACAGAGGAGCAGATAGAGTTCAGAGGAGACAGAGAAGAAGAAGTAGAAGAAGAGAGCGCGGCCGGAGCGGTCCAGGAAATATTCACCTGTGTGGAATGTAGCATTTACTTCAACAAACAGCTCCACCTGCAGGAGCACATGGTTGAACACAGCCAGAGGGGGCCAGGGGGCGGGGGCGGGGGCGGGGGCCACGTTGAGGAGGCCAGTCATTTTCAGTGTGTGGAGTGTGGATGGGAGCTTCCTGATGAGGAGGCTCTTTCAGGGCCACA